GGGTGTGGGTGTGGGCGTGGGCGTGGGTGTGGGTGTGGGTGTCATGATTTTGATTCTCTCAACATCCGCATCCACATCCACACCCACACCCCACACCCACACCCCACACCCACACCCCACACCCACACCCACCCGCTTACGTACTCTGTATTTATTCTATTGACTGATTGAAAGCAAAGGCAACTCACATGCGAACACCACTTCAAAGAACATCGACTTCTTCAAACAATTGCACACAAAAATATTAAGCGCAGCCGAATGTGACTCTTCTCCTCTATTACGTTTGTTAGCAATGCTAAGCAACTCGAAACTGCTGCCTTTTCTTCTTACTTACGATCTCAACCACAATGACGATCAAATAAAATTGAAAGACTTCCACTGTTAAGTACGACTGTCGCAAGGAGAACAAAGAATAATACGCTTGACAATGCTTTCTCCACAATAATTCAGACAGTCATTTTTTTCATTTTTTTAAATTTGTAGATGCATGCTTTAAGAGTGGCACAGGTAAGATTGTTGCTTAAGAAAGGCGACATATTCTAATTCTTTTCGATCAATCGCAGTAGTGTCTCTCAGTAAAGTATATTATAACTGACATGGAGTAAAGCTGTGAAGAGCCTATGTTCAATAGAAAAAGCAACTAAAAACGATATCTTTTCTAAAGCACGATAGATATAGGTATTGATGAGATTATGGATAGGAATTGAGAGATGATTCTCACCCAAACCAGAATCCATAAGACTACACACCTCGCATCCGAAGCCATAATTACATTCACACTCTTCTGCTAGGTTCTGTTATTACCCAAACAGAATTGTCTCAAAATATGGCATTCGTGCTTAAACTGGATTAAAAAATTTCCGATATCTATGATGAACTCTGATACCGACAGTATAGGATTCTCGTGGTAGATGATATTTCGAGGTGAAGGATTATGGAAGGATCAGTCTTCTCTATTCTTGGAAGGCTTCCGTTCTCCTAATAGTTCTGAACGTTGTTCTTTCGCTTGTGCTCAGGAATGTATATAACCGTAGCACAACGATGACTGGACAGTCTGTTACATGGACTATTCGTCGCATAACTATCTGTGCCAGATGCGTGAATATGGGTATTGGTGTGGGTGTGAGCGAGGACCTATTGTTTATCCTCACCGACATTCACAACCACACCCGCGCCTATGCTTACACAACTACCCACATCCACAACCTTACACACCCACACCGACTCTCCCACAACCTTACACAGGCTTACCCACACCCACACTTTTCTTTACAGTCCCACTCACACCCATCCTTTTATTTATAGCCCTACTCACACCCACACTCAGCAATATTTTCTCTCAATTTTCATCAGCAACCATTCGTAAGTATTACAAGGACACCTCCTGTAATGGTTGCATTGAACAATTAGTACACTCAGAATATTTCGATAACTTCTCAGTGTGTCACTTGAAAAAAATCAAGTGAAATGATTTCTTTATCAGACGAGAAAAGATTCATAGGCTTTTTTCTCTGTTTGAGAATTTTCAGCAAGATCGTGTAGGGTATGGGTGTGGCTATCTCTGTGCGTAAGTGAGTCTTCTTTTCTCCTTATGTCCAGACTAGACCCCGGCGTGACCGCCGTGACTCACGGAAGTCACAGCCACGGTCACGGCCGTGACTGTGCGTGACTTTTTTCAAAGATCGTGACCGTGACTGAAGCTTGGTCACGGTCAGTCACGGGAACTTCGAAATTTTGGAAACTCCTGAGAGGGAGTAGGTGAGCTTCGCGAAGCTACCCCTCTGGTCATCGTTTTTTATGAAAAATTGGGAAATTTCTAGTATTTGCGATTTTGGAAATCCTGAGGGAGAGTTCGGACACCTCCACGAAGCTACTTCAAGCCCCGCGGTCATCACTTTTAATAGTAAACGAAAACTTTGCAATAGCTCTTTTTCGAAAGTTTTTTTAATATTGAGGAACCCGGAAGAAGAGCCGTGACTCACGGTCACGGTCACGGTGAGCTCAGCCCGTGACCGTGACCGTGACCGTGACCAAAAAAGTTGGTCACGCCGGGGTCTAGTCCAGACACCTACACCCCACGCATGTCATTTTTGTGCCTTCATGATTAGGAAACTCCCTATTGATAAATGTAGGAACAATTTAGAAAAGCTGTTTGGCTTAATCTGATGTATAGAATGCTAAAGAGTCACAAGTGGACTGGTATTTTAATCACCGCATTTAAGCGCCATAAATTGACACACTGAAACTTGGCATTTGCTCTATATTCTCTAAATTCTAAAAAAATTCTAAATCAGCCAAATCGAATATGTGCAACGGTCACGATGATAACCAAATTGTTCATATTTAAAGATTGATTCTTCAAAAACGGAAGCATGTAAATCGATACCTGTCACTGCCTATTTTGTACAAATATCTACCAATTAGTATGAGTATATGCGCATCCATTTCTACAGCAGATTTAAGGATTTTAAAATAAGAAAAAAATAGGTAAGGCTTTGCTCTAAAATATGTTTCTATAATTTTGTTCAAACGTCTACCACGATGGTTCTAGAGAACGATTGTTGAAGGTTCTCTCGGGTGTTACATTTTTATCAATTGACAAAAAGCATATTTCCTTAAGTCATAATACATCTACGCAACATCTACCAGATGGTGAATCCATTTCGAACCATCTAGTATATCTATTGAGTTTATCAGTGAGAGCATTTATGCTATCTCAAATGAAAACAGAATCATAGCATAAATGTAGCGAGAAAGGAGTTCTGTCGTTGTCATATATTTCTAGCGCAGAAAATGGTTTCGGAATTCGTCCAAAAGCTATCCAGTATAATTTATAAGAAGTAAATTTTTCGGAAGAAGTTTTTGCCCACTTGAAACTTTGACAGAGTGGTTAGCGCGAAATTGTAAATCGATTTTTCTGCTTCTTTCTGCCACATTGGACAGTTTAACACAGGGCATAGTCTAAAAAATTGTGCGCCAACAAAAACAAGCCTTATTTGAAAAGCAAATATGCTAGCTTTTTAATGCGTAAATTTTTCCATCGAATGATATAAGCTAGAAGTCTTACAATTGCACTCTAGTTTTTGAAATGAATGAAAATAAAACCGACCTGTCTTTTATTAGCCATTCATTAGATCGATAATTTTGTGGCTTATGGTGTTGTTTTACTAACTTTTAGATTTGCCTATATAGGAAATAACAAATTAAAACTATGAGTGATGAAATTCAAAAAGTTAAAAAAGCAATAGCTCTGAATCATGCAATTGTATTTATTGGTACAGGTGTATCTCGTTATACAACGAACAGGATTTTGCTAATTGGATTGGTTTATTAAAAAGTGGACTTCAAAGGTGTCACCAATCCGGATGGATTGGCGATAGAGATCTTGATTACTTCATTAAAAAGTTCGACAGTCATGAAGCGATAATTGATGATTACTTAAGTGCTGCTGATCGGATTGCAAACTGTTTCAAGAAGGAAAGTGATGAGACAAGGAATGACGTCTATAAAATATGGTTGAAAGAAACAGTAGGAAAGCTAATACCTAACAAATCTGAACTTATTGAAGCCATAGGAGCACTGGGATGTCCAATTCTAACAACTAACTATGATGGACTTCTAGGAGATGTATTGAAGAAAAAACCATTAACTTGGAGTAAATACAAAACTGATGGTATTGGCGATTCATTTGAGGAAATGAAGAATTTTGTTCTACATGTACATGGATATTATGACGAGCCCGAAAGTGTGATATTTACTAGCGATGATTACAAGAAGATTCTTGATGACGAATTCGCACAATCGAAATTAAAAGCACTTATGGAAACGAAAACTTTATTATTTATTGGATATGGTGCTGGGATGTCTGATCCGAATTTTTCGAACTTATTACAATGGAAATTTCGAGTAGCAGGTCACAAGTCATTTCCAATCTATAAAATTGTTAAATCAAATAAAGATAAAATATCATATCAAGCCTTGGATGTTTCGTTTTTAGAAAATATCAGAGAACTTCATTATGGTGAGAGCCATGCAGATTTATTAAAATTCATTAAAAGTTTGAAATCATTTACTCCACTACTATATGAAAGTTTATCAATCACAGAAGAAAAAGAAACTATTCGTAAAAAATATCTGAATTTTCTTACTAAAGAACATGGATATGTATCAATATTTGGATATGCTAAAGCGAATATTAGTTTACCTTTAGAAAGTGTTTATGTCGAATTAAAATTTGATCCAACACATCCATCTATTAAAGCAATGAAAGTCCTTGAAGTTTCTGAAGAATTTAAGCGAAAACTTTTATTTCATGGATTTTTTGATGAAAACGAAACTAAGAAAATATTTAGAGCTATCATGGAAGCAAACGCGTATAACCCTCAAAATATTTATCGAGATTTTATGATGAATCAATGGTTGAATGTGTTTTTAAGTAATAGGAAAATATTTACTGAAGACGATGCTGTTTCGATTAAAAATAAAATCAGTCAATTAAAACATAGTATTTTGGAAAAATCTAATGTTAAAGAAGCAAAACAATATCATGTACAACAAGCTTACAACGAATTTAGACATTTTATAATCTTGGGTCATCCTGGTTCAGGTAAAACTACTTTATCGAAATGGTTGGTAATCAATATGGCAAAGCAATGTTTAGGAGAGAAAAATATGTTATTTGACAGTAGCTGTTCTACTGAACAAAAACTACCAATCCTTATACCAATATGGAAATATGTTGATCAATTAAAAGAAAATCAAAATGAACAGAAAAAGACTTTGCTTCAATTCATCTATGAAAATCCTGCTTTGGATTCAAATTATTTTACCGATGAAGAACGAAAAGTATTATCATCTTTGATTATACAATCATTGGCACAAGGCAATGTTCTAGTTATTTTCGAGGGATTAGACGAAGTTCCTGTTCATATAGATCGATCTGGTTTAATGAAAGAAATCAACGATTTATTAGAACGAGGAATAGATTATGATGCAAAACTTGGCAAACTTTCTTATTCAATTTATGAACGAAAAGAAATAAATAGTACTCAAGATCCTACTATTGGCAATAGATTTATTATTACAAGCCGTATTGAAGGAAATTATTTCGAACAAATCAATTATTATATACCTAGATTAACAATTGAGGACATGTCTAATGAAGCTCTCAAATTATTTTGTAATTCCTACATGGAATGTATCAAGGAAAATTCTATCAAAAGTGGAAGACATATGAAGGAATACAAAACTGATCAATTATATAATGATATTACGAAAAATAAAGATATTTTTCAATTAGCAATTAATCCACAACTGGCTAGTGTAATTGCTGCTATTTACAATCAGTACGAAGATAAATTACCCGAAAAAAGAATTGATTTATACGAAAAAGCAATAGAAAAGATGATTGAACGCTTGATAAACTCTTCCAGTAGTTCTCCGACAAACTATCTAAATAAAGAACTTGGACTCAATGGCACTATATTATGGTCAATAATGCAAGAAATAGCTGAATATCTACATAGTAAAGTGGAAGGTTTGTCAGAGAATATTTTGAAAGAAATTATAAGAAAATGTTTAGTGGATTATCAGAAACAATCAACAAAGGACTCTCAAATAAACATTGATGATTCGATTTCAAAACTTGTTGATGTATTTAAATACCAAGCTGGTTTATTAAATGAATTTGGTCACAATAGTTTTCGATTCATACATCGTACGTTTCAAGAATATCTTGCAGCAAAAAGTATTATCTATTTCAATGGAATAGAACGAAACGAAGACATGATCTTGAAAAATATCAAAGAGAAAATTGCTAACCCTAACTGGAGAGTTCCTCTTAGCATGACATTCGGAATATTGAGTGAATCAAACCAATACAGCGAACTATTTAACAACATCATTACAAGATTGTTCATCGATGAACAAGTGCTAACAAATACACAATTTTCTACTTCTTTAGTCCCATATGTCATTATTGATTCATTGAATGATATGCAATTTTCATCGAAAGATACAGAATATATACTGATTCGAAGAATATTAGAACTATTATTAGTTGATTATAAAAATATGTCCGGTTTTTCAAGATTGAAAGAACATCAAGAATTAATAGAATCGTATTTCTCGAAATTGAAAAAGGGTTACGAAACTTTAGTTCTTGAATGGTTTTTAGAGAAGATGAATCAAGACGAACATATTGCTCCGTGTGCCAATATCATTTATCAGCTTAAATGGTATGATTCAAAATTTCATGAAATATTTTTGAAAAATTTGGATAACGATTCTTTGATTTGGAACTGGCCAGTAGATTCTATTTTACGATTTTATTCGTGTAGTATAGAAGATGAATCCGTCCTGACCCAACTAAAGTTCAAAAATACATTGGGAAAAAATTCAGACATAGTTCAACATATAATAAAACACATTGATTGGTTATGTGTTATTATAGCCCTTTATGGTGGATATAAAAATTACAATACTCCAACAAGTATTCAAGAATATTTCGAAATTGGCCAATTTCTTAGCTTAAGTGACAATGAAAGGTCACCGTTCATCTTTTATTATCAAGAAGTATGGGATCGAGATGATCCGGCTTACAGCATGGCTGTGCATCTTGACACAGCTGTACCTAAATATCGTTGGAGTGAAAAACCAATATTGGACAAGAATGAAATCTACAAAGAATCATATCTAACAACAAAAATTCTCGAATTACTAGCTGAAGAAAAATCCGCAACAGACTTCATAGAAGATTTGAGAAAGCAAATAAATAGTCAACAATCGTCTACTGCTGAAAAAATAGATACATCGATTGCACTAATGGCTTTAGGAGATTTTGATACTATAAATACTATTATAAACGAAAGAGAAGAAACATTTATAAAAAAGTTTGGAAATAGAGTAGAACAATTGATTTGCAGCTTAAAAGATTCGATTGCAAGATGTTCTTCACAAGTCTCAAACTATTTGCTTGCAGCTTATAATACTATGAAAGCAAAACAATTGAAATACAGTATTAGTTTTTCCGATTATTGTAAAATATATTTATCTTTAGTAGCCAATGGTGGAGGCTTACCTATCGACACTACGAAACTAGCTGAAGTAATGGATAATGCTGAACATAAATATACTCTATATGCAGAATATTTTGCCTTTAAATTTACTGGTGCTGATGATGATAAGCGATATAATGTTGCTGTTATATTAGATAATATGGAAACAAACGAAACTGGTGAAATTATAAAGTCCTTCTTAGAAATTAGTGATTCTGTTCAGGTCTATAGACCAGTTCGATCATACTTATGGCCTACAGATATATTTATTTTCAAATCGAATAAAGATGATGAACTACCGATAGCATTTCTTAATTGTTTGGAGAATATCCATACTAATATTACGTTTGTAGTAAATGGTATATCTGATTATTTTTTTAAGAAAGGATATTTCGAGAAAAACCCCGATTTGATTACATTAGTAGTGTTATTAAACTTCGGCACTATGTCAAAAGACGCCGACTATCGTGAACTTTGTAATCGTTTACTTCCTGAGTTGACGGATAAGATCAACATTAAAGAATTTTTACTGCAAAAAATTCAATCAATCACTAACATCTATTATAGATCGAGAGCATTAAGTCAACTAGCACAATTCTATGATGAGAAAAGTTATGAACTTTTGAATGAATCTTTCAAACTTACAAAAGCTATTCAAGAACCAAGCTTTAAATTTCAAGTTTTGGAAAAGATTTTTAGTATTACTCATTACAAGGAAGTTAAACAGAAGTCATTTATCAAGGAAATCGTTGACGAGCTAGTTTTATCATTTGACAGTATTCTCGATCATTATGATCGAGTTATTGCATCGATAAGATTATCGTTTTATGGATCTGGAGATTTCCGAAAAAAATATCTGGCGAATGCTATAGAAACACTTGGTAAGATGGATGAAGATGAAGAGCAAATGAAATTAATAATAAAATTAAAACCATTAATTGCTGTTTATGATGATCTTCAAACTGGCTTGAATAGAATTATAGACAATCTGAAAAACAAAATATCTAAATATTATATTGATTCTTATTATGGACAAATATTGTTTACTGAAAAGTTAGATGTTGATATTTCCAACTCAATTTCGGTCATGAGTACAAATGTAGAAAATGACATTAAGAAAGAGCAAAATGACGATTTACTAGCATGTAACGACAACGATAACAAAAAAACTGATGATCTTCCAGAATGCAAAGTAACTGATAGCAAACAAAATGATGGCTTCCTAGAATGCAACCATAGTGATAGCAAGAAAGATGACAATCTTTTTGAATCCTACGAAAATTATGATAGACAAAATGTAGATGATTTCAATTATACTAATATTCAAGCTCTATTTATGCTCTTCGCACAACTTAATGATATTCAATTAGCACTTGGCAAAACAAACAGTTTAAATCAGTTGTGGATTAATCTTTATAAAGGTACCAATAATCAATCGAATATTGAACGTTTACTAAAAGTAGCTTTAGATAGTGAATTATTTTTGACACCACAAGTAGCAATTATTATTGATGAATTAGTAAGAAAAGGACAAGAAGATAGAATATCACTTCTTTTTCCATACATAATAAAACCATCAAATGAAGTGTTACCGATTGTTCATAGATGGTTCACTGATTATAGTAACAGTCAAATAAAAAAGTTAGCAGCTCTTTTACTTACAGAAGCAAAGTATGTTTTTGAAGCTGGAATCGATACAATTATAGATTTACTAAAAAGTGACAATGATCAAATGAGATATAGAGCTCAGCGAGTTTTTCAGCATCCAGAACGAGATGTCAGTGAACCGACCAAAAGAATATCTGTAATTGGAGAAAAAACATTAATGAAAATTCTACAAAATAGATTGTTGAAAGAGCATCTTTCACGAGTTCGAACGTATCTTAACACTTTTTTCTACGACCTTCTTTGGGATGACCCTAGTGTATTTCAAAATCTTTATGAAAATGTCACAAAATTGAAACAAAGACAGTCTGCAGGTGGAAAAAAAATGGAATTTTTTACTAGTATTCGTTTTATCAATGATAATACTTGGAGTTCAATACTAAAAACGTTGCAATCGCCATCACATCCATCGTATGTCGAAGAAATCCTCCATTCAACAATGAAGCTAATACGGAATAGACAAATTTTGGGTGAAGACTGGGATAAATTTGCACAAATACTATCGGTTACCGATACAAGCCAATTCAAAGACAGATTATATTTCGAAGCAAATGACATCGCCACAATTAGATTTATTTTGCAAACCGTTTGTGGCTCGACAAATACAAATGATGAAGCATATTTTCAACTTCTTGATTCCAAAGTTATTAGTGAACTAACAGTCAAAATTGAAAGTCTTTCACAACGTAATTATGAATATATAAAACGTATTAGTATCTGTACTTTTTGGACTTCAACAAACAATTCAAATCGCGAAATATTAAACCTGTTAGATGATTTTCAAATAACCATCGAAATAATGGAAAGTTTAATTAAATGGTTACTACAAACAATGAACAATTTCAAGGGTTTTGATGATACAATATTTTCAGCAGGTCTGTGTGAAAAATTATTATCCTTGGTTGCTGCGTGTGCTCAAAAGGAGGATTATTTATATCGAAAAGTTACCAATGCTCAAGATTTTCATAAAGCTCAAATGATCAAACTTCTAGAAAAAATGCTCAATAATCATCCGTATTTTATGGCGAGAGGTAGTGCCTTCGTTTTGTTGTCAGCAATGGATAATTCCGATCAAAAAGTAACCATAAATGCCATGAATGCATTATTTGACGAAAACGTCGTGAAAGAATATTCTGTAATTGGAATTCCTCTTATACACTTATCACCAAATGAATTTATTGATGATTTATTAAAATCTTTGAATAACGAAAGTGCCATAAAAGCTTATGAAATACTAAAAATTTTGACACAATATGCTTTGAATGAAAAAATTGATGCGCACACTAAATCAAAAATAATGAATTATTTAGCAAAAGAAATTGGAGAATTAAAATCAAAGAAGCCAATTAATTATTATTATACAGATATTAAAATTCCGTTTACAACAACATTGGAAAATGAATTGTACAAAACATGGATTAAAATACAAGGACTCTCTGGCAAAGCACAATATTACGCTACGGTTGAAGCATCAAAAGAATAATATTACTTTAAATAATGATCTTCTTTCGCGAAATACAACTATGATTTTATTCACTATAATTTTGAATTGCTTTTTATCTTACAATAAATATTCATCATACTTATACAAGATGCTAATTCAATTGAATGCCGCCGTTTACATAATACTTTAGTATCAGTCTATTGCAAGTTTTGATAAAATATATCCACACTCTTCACAGTTATTTTCTATACTAACATCTGTTTATTGCAACGCACGTTCTGAGTGTGTTTAGAAAATAAAACTTTCATCCAACGACAAGAAAGTGTGAGTGTGAATGAGCTGTGTGCGTGGATATTTATGATAAGAGTACTACTGTATATGCATGAGGGCCTTCTCTTCGTTCATACTCAGTCACTCACCCTTATCTTATTAAGTTGTTTACAACGAAAAATTTCACACTATTATTTTCTTTTACGATAAATAATCTTCAAATAATTAATGATAGTATAATGATTAGTAATCGTTTCTCCCTGATTATTTCGAATCTTTGCCACTTCCTCAAAGAAAATATCTTCATAATAACAACTAATAATTACAT